GCTCAGTGGGTAAGAGTACTTGTTGTGCCAGCCCGGAGACCTGAATTCAGATCCCCAGCCCCTACATAAAAAGCAGGGCATGGCCCCAGCCCCTACATCCCTAGCTCTGTGGGCACTAAGACAGAAGGCTCACTGGGGTTTCCAGTCAGCACATACACTGGACCCGCCCATCACCCCCACACATTGCTGGTGACCTCTGGTTCTGAGTGCAGTTTCTCACTGCTGCCCATGCCTCTCGGTTCCCACTAGCACAGATGAGAACTTCTCAAATGCTGCCTTCCCAAATTAGTTATTCTTTTAATAGTAAAAAAATTCTTATAAAAGTAGCTTAAGTAAATTCTTACGTAAGGTCTTCTATATTTGAAGGCCCCAAGAATTCATTGTTGGAAGATTTCTTTAAGGGTTTTTGCTGGGAAGATTGCTTTCATCTTAAGAACTTACACACTTTTTTTTTAATGATGAGTTGGATAGGTAAGTCTTTAAGGAAACAAATTATTTAAGATGTAGACCAGGAGCCTGGGGCTGACTCGTGGGTTTATCCATCACAGCGCACGTGTGATGACAAGAGCTTGGGTCTCGAGGAGCCACTAAAAGTCAGGTGCACATGGATCATCAGGACAGGCTAGCCAGCCAGACTAGCCAAAACAGTGAGCGCCGGGTTCAGCAGAGATCCCGCCTCAGTCTGTAAGGCAGAGAGTGATTGAGAAAGACACCCTTCATCAATCTCAGACCTACACACACATGCACCCCACGATGATGATAATTCAGTAAAACAGAGCGCAAGGATGCTGATACTATTAAACACAATTGAATGTATGTGATAGCTCAGTAATGTGTATTTCATGTGTAACTATACTGACTGTATTAGTCATGGTTCTCTGGAGTAACAGAACTTACAGAATGAATCTATCTATATAGAAAGGAGATTTATTAGATAATAACCCAACAGTGGCCAGCTGTGGAAGGAAGGTCCAAGAGTCCAGTAGTTGTTCAGTCCACTAGGCTGGATGTCTCAGCTGGTCTTCAGTAGACCCCGGGATCCCGAGGAAGTAGGCTGTAAGGCCAGTGAAGGAAGGGACTTACTAGCAAGGCAGGACAAGCAGGCAAAGAGCAAAAGCTTCCTTCTTCCATGTCCTTATATAGGCTGCCAACAGAAGGAATGTCCCAGATCAGATCTGGACTAAAGGTGTCTGTGCCTACCTCAAAATCTGGACTAAAGGCATGTCTTGTCCCTCTCAAAAGATCTAGGTTAAAGGCATGTCTTCCTACCTCAAAGATCCAGATTAGAAGTGAATATTCCTGCTTCAAATTAAGCAAAAATCCCTCAGAGGTGTGCCCTCCATTTTGGGGTCTTAGTTAATTCCAGATGTAGTCAAGCTAATAACCAAGAATAGCCTTCATACTGATATATGCTTTATTTGCTCCTCATTAAAAAAAAAAGTTTTAAACTGTTTGTCTAAAAATGAGGTTGCTGAGCAGCGGTGGTGCACGCCTTTAATCCCAGCACTTAGGAGGCAGAGCCAGGCGGATCTCTGTGAGTTCAAGGCCAGCCTGGTCTACAAAGGGAGTTCCAGGACAGTCAGAGCTGTTACACAGAGAAACCCTGTCTCAAAAAACTAAAGAAGAAGGAAGGAAGGAGAAACAGAGAGAGACAGAGAGAGAGAGGGGCAGTTGAGGGGGGAGGGGGAATCTCACTAAATTGAAAAGCAGATGGAGGGAAAGACTCTTTAATTAATATAAGATCTTTATCACTTGTTTGATCTGCTCCCTGATGACCACCACTGTAGTTATTTGAAAAGACAACTAGACTCGACGAAGAAATGTCATTGAGACTCCAAGACTCTTCAACAGAACCATTATTGATATCTATACTCTGAAGCCTTCCTTGTGGAACTTCTCTTAAACATGAGCAGATACGTTAAATAGCTTAATTGGGGCTGGTGAGAACGCTCAGTGGGTAAGGAACCTGCCACGAGCCTCAGGACCCGAGTTTAACCCCTGGAGCACATGGTGGAAGGAGAGAACCATCTCCTGCATTTGTCCTCTGGCCTCCACACCTGCATGGACACATGCACATGCAATAGGATAATGGAATTAAACTATTTTCAGAAATTGCTTAGCCTAGGATATCTAGATTTTAGGCCCTGTGTGTGATTCATTTATTAGAAGAGGACTTTGGTTTTGTCGTGGTGGTAAGGAAAAGCCACCAGCATTGTGCAAAGCTTTTCACTGGAGAAACAGACTGAATTCTTTATGCCAAGAAAGGAACGCCAATAAAGCCAACAGTGAATTGAAGAAAACAGACAAAAAAAAAAAAAAAAAAGAGCAAAAATGCCCGTAGTAGCCACAGAAAAATAAAAGGAATTATTGTATCTATGAAAAAAAAAAAAAGGAAAAGTCAGCAAACGGACAGAAACTAAATTTTGTAATCCAAAGTTAATGACTTACCCAGGAAAGCAAAGATAAGGAGGCAGATACCCAGAGAGAACGGAAGAAAGGGAGAGAAAGCGGCCCAGGACTGAAGGATGGCAAAGCTCCCAGTGGACACTTGAGTGAATGGACAGCCGAGTCCTCCGCTGCCCACTGTGTGTGAGTTTGTCTCGTTCTCTCCTTCATTCAGCCCGAGTGTTGTGTCTCGTTTCACCTTTTCTTCCCTTCTCAAACTGCCTCGGTGTGGCCGGACGTCCGTTCCTATTGGCTTTCTCTACCTGCATCAGTAGTTTCCAAATGTCCAAATTCTCTTTCATTCACATTCTCATTCTTTCATTTATCCATATTCTCTCTCCTTCCTCCCCTGGTACCCAGCGGTCCTCACATGTCTAAGAGTGAGCTTACTTCCTTCTCTTCTCTTCTGATCTTCCAGTTAACAAGTTTATCTTGTAGTTCCTACTTCATAACTGAAAACATTATTTTTGGTGTATAGTAGGTCAAAAACTAGGAGTCCAGGATGGAAGATTATCATCACCCCAGGTCCCCAGCATATTTTTTTAATTCTCACATGCAACCAGAATGTCCTATCAAATCCTGGTGATTAGCCCTTGTGTCCATTCCATGCATGTGGAGGTCAGAGGGCCACATTCAGGAATCCCTCTTTTGAGGTTTCCGGGGATGAACTCAGATGGTTCCATTTCACCAGCCCCTCACTGTTTCTCATTCTTTGTGTAAAGGAAGAACCAAGGGTCACTGATGTCTGACAAGGAAATGATAAGGATAAATAGAAGTAAGCAAACACAAAAATTGATACTGAAGATAACCTTAGTCCCAGCACTCGGGAGACACAGGCAGGTGAATCTCTGTGAGTTCAAGGTCAACCTGGTCTACAGAGCGAGTTCCAGGATGGCCAGGGCTCTGTTGTTACACAGAGAAACCCTGTCCTGCACAACAAAACAAAACAAACAAGAACAAAAAACTCTAGTCAGTAGCTTCAGCCTGAGATGATCCTGAAAATGTCAATGAAAGCAGAGGACCAGGAAAGAGGAACAGGGAACCAGAAACCACTGTTAGGTTAAATGCGTGACTGCCAGGCTGGGAAGACGGCCCAACCAATAAAGGCACTTGCCACTAAGGCTGAGGACACAAGTTCTCTCTGTTAGCCACGTGGTGGACGGAGAGAACTGACCCCTACAAGTTGTCCTCTGACCTCCACACCTGTGCCGCGCACCCAAGTGTCCACACAGACACACACACACACGTACACATGGTAAATAAATACATGTAATCAAATTTCTGAGAAAAACACATGACTGCCAAACTTAAAAAAAAATCTGTAGAAGAGAATGAAGCTAAGCAGAGGAAAGCTTAATATTTTAGAGGGGGAAAGGCCACAAAGGGAAATATGAGCCTAATAAGAAGACCTAAAAGGTTAGGTCCAAAACCAGGCTATCAGGGATTCCAGAAAATAAAGACAAAATGGGAAGGAATAAATTATCCAAAGGAAACCATGAAAATTTATGAGAACAAAAAATGTTATTCAAATTAAATAAGGTATTCTGAGTGATGAGCAGAATTTTGAGGCATATAAATATAGTTTAAATATATGTGTGTGTGTCTATATATACATACAGATAGAGGTAATTATGAAATTTTAGAATACTAGAGATAGAAGTGAATGAAACCCTCTAAAGAAAAGGTTTTCTTGGGCTGGAGAGATTGGCTCAGAGGTCAAGAGCACTGGCTGTTCTTCCAGAGGTCCTAAGTTCAATTCCCAGCAACCACATGGTGGCTCACAACCATCTGTAATGAGATCTGGTGCCCTCTTCTGGCATACAGGTATATTGTATACATAATAAATAAATCTTTAAAAAAAAAAGAAAAGGTTTTCTTTTTTCTTTTTATATTTTTCATTTGTATGTGTGTCTGTGTTATATATCTGTGTGTTTGTATGTTTGCAGATACGTGAAATACATGTGGGAATGCACATTCACGTGTATGCCTGTGCATGTGGAGGTCAGAGTGGATATTTTAATGCTACTTGAAACATGTTTCCTGGTCAATGTAATGCTTTAACATGAGTGTCATAGTTCATGTACAGTGTGTTTACAGTTTGGTCGTGAAATCGTTTTTCTAGGTTCTTGGTTGACTTAAAATATTACTTTACATGCTTGAAATGTTTACATATGCAATTCCTTCTTTTACCAGATGTGCTCTAAGGCAGGTAGTTTAGAAAGTATGTTTTTATTTCATAACTTCTCTAGCTAAGTTCCTAACTTCTCTAAAAGGTTTCTGTTTCCTCACCCAAATGCCACCTTCACAGAGCTGCAGTAGGGTTCAATGTGTTCAGCCCACAGTGAGCGCTAAGCAGAAAGACATAGGAAGACCATGGCTGTGTTCAGTCGGTACATGGTTGTGATTATTCCACTGAGTTATAAGTCTTTATGAAGAGTGGCACTATAAATTAGATTCATGTCCTGTCAGTCTGGTTAATGAAAATACTAAGTTCTTTCATTTAGGAAGAACAGTTGCTCCCTCATTTGATTTGATATCTGTTGGCTGATTTTTAGTTTGAAAAAGAAAAACAACATGATATCCGATCATTCTTCTTACCAAAACCGAAAAAGAGACAGTTGGAAACATCCTGTGACGAGTCAAAGGCGTTCAAGGAGAAGACTGTAGTGGCCTCAGGCCCTAGGGAAGTGGCTGTGAGTGACTGCATTGATGATGGAAATGGTTCTGAGCCCGAAACCAAAAGATTGAAGTCACTCAGCACCAAGGACCACCGCAGTGCGCTGGAGGAAAGACCGTCCCTTCAAGCCGGAGCCTCGTCCGGGGAAGGTGTCCACCAGGTCAAGCCCCCGTCGGCCTCACCAGCCCTTCTTCCTAGGAAGGGCTGGCCCTGTGGCTTCTGCACGTTCATCAATGACTCAGCCCTTCCTCACTGTGAGATGTGTGAGAACCCTCGGGGCAGAGCTGGTGAGTGCCCAGGTGAAGGTGAGCTGGAGGGATGGGGGCAGGGGGTGGGGGGTTGTGCTCTGAAGACCATCCTAGTCTTCAGATACTGTTGTTACCCAAGTGTCTTGTGACTCAGCAGCCTGCAGCCCTTAAAGTGGAGTAAGAATTTCACTGAGTGAAGACTGTAAATCCATCCCCTGTGGAATGTGAGTGGCTCCTGGTTCTGTCAAGAATGTATATAATGAATGTCAATGGCTTGGCATTGTTTTGGCACAAGTGGGCATTTCTGGTTAATGTCAGCAGGATGTGAGCTCAGTGGGCAGGAGAAGCCTTGTTGCTATGGCAACAAATGTGCCTCCCATCACAGACCTGCATTATAAAACAAGTAGATATTCTTGTTTTTAAGGAAATTATAGAGGATTTCTATATTTAAATGGAATCATTTGGGTAACGACTTTGCCTGCTTAGTATACATTGCGCCATAGTTTTTTTTTTTTCTTTTTTGCTTAACAAGTCATGAGTTCTTCTCAAGGTTTCTTAAAGGAATCTGCCAACACACACACAAATACAAGATAAATACAATGTAACAGAAAAAATGTCATTAGTATTCTCTGTTTTCAGTTTCAGAGAACATTTTATGCCAATGGAAAAAAAATGCCAAGTTGACAGTTTTGGAAACTAAAAGCAGGTTATTTTATTAATGGCATACATAGTTGCTCACGTCAGTTCTCCAATATATTCATTCTTCCGACAACAGAGACAGAGCTTGCAGAGACAGAGCTAAGAGAACTCTGATGTTATATTTTTTCCTACTCCTTCTCTCTTAGTTTTGATCTAAAAGAAAAATGCATCAGCAGCTAAGCCTTTCCTCTCTCACTTCTGAGAACTTGTTGGGAATTAACAAGTGGCCATCTGGGTAGCTTTGTTTGTTATGTGGGCACCTGTTCTCTGCAATCGAACCACACACTTTCTCCAGGCAGGGTCTTGGCCACAGTTAACATGACCCCCTGCAATCCCTGACTGGTGCAGACAATTGAACTACAGCAACCTGTGACTATAAAGTAATGTCCGCTCACAGGAAGAGTATAAAGTGACGAGCTCAGGGGTGGGGGTGGGGGTGGGGGTGGGGAGTCAAAATTTTTAAAAAAAGCTGTTTTTTTTAAAAATCGTAGTTGATTATGTGTCTGATAGTTCTGATTTCCCCTTATGGTGCCAAGAGCAACAATGAAAGTTGCTTCAATAAGCAACTGTGAGCATGAAGCAATCTGCTTATAGAAAAAATAAAAATGTTAAGTAACGGTGTCGTCTCAACATTACAGTAGTCAGCTTTACATTATTACAGTTGGCAAGGGATCACCTGCCTTGGCTTGTTTGTGCCCCCAAAGTATTAAAAGGCAGAACTAATACTAATTAAACAGAAGAATCCAGAAACTTAAAGGAGCCGTATTAGGATGCTGCAGTCTACGGAGGCTGCTGATTGAGGCCTGTGGTGCTCTGGAGTGAATACAGCACAGGATACATTGCATGAGAGTATTGAACAGCAGCTGAAACTGCCCAGCCTCTGTCTCTAACTTGAATGCCGGAGTGGTTATGTCCACAGCAGTCTACAAACCACTCCGCTTGGGAGTTCAGTGACGTCTCAAGCTCCACAGGCCCGGGCTAGAGTCTGAGGGCTGCAGAGATCCCAGCCGCTCAGACGCTTGCTGCATAAGCTTTATGACCCCAATTTGAATCTCAGCCCCTACAGAGAAAGCCAGGCACAGGCCACATCCCCACCTGGGAATCCAGACAGGCAGGTTTCTGGAACTTACCAACTGGCTAGCCAACAGAGCCAAATTAGTGAGCTCCAGGTTCAGTGAGAGACCAAAATAAGGCGGGAAATGATTGAAGAAGGTACCAGATGTCAACTTTCAGCCTGTGCGTGTGCGTGCGTGTGTGTGTGTGTGTGTGTGTGTGTGTGTGTGTGTGTGTGTGTGTGTGTTGCAGAAATTAAAAACCTCAGCATTGGGCTGGAGAGATGGCTCAGCTGGAGAGAGCCTAGGACTGCTCTCCCAGAGGACCCAGGTTCGACTCCCAGCACCTAGATGACCACTCACAACAGTCTTTAACTGCAATCCTAGAGGATCTCACACAGCCCTCTGGCCTCCATGGACCCGGTATACACATGGTGCACAGACATGCAGGCAAAATACCCATATGCATAAATGAAAATAGATAATAATGTCCTTGATCTCCTGCTCCCCTCCCCTCAGGTGTTAAACCCTGAAATATATCCCTATTCCAAGCACTTCCTCCTGTTGCTACCACATGAAAGCCGCTCTTTCAAGACCCAGTAGCGTCCTCCACTCCAGTCTTGCCCTTCGGAGCCTTTCCATGCAAAACAGTCAGAATCACCCTTGAATAATGGGCGTCAGTCAGCTAGGCATGGCAGCGGAGGCCCTTAGTCACAGCACTTTGGAGGCAGAGGCAGATGGATCGCTGTGAGTTCCAGGCCAGCCAAGGCTTCCTAATGGGACCCATGGAAAAAATCAACAGCAACAAAAGTGCAGCCGTCATTACTCCTCTGTGCAAAGGTCTCTGTTCCGTGTCGAGTCCATCCACCAGTGTGAGCCCTTGACGGCTCAGCAGCGGCTCCGAGCTGGGGTGGGACTCTGAGAGCGTGACCCTGACAACCTGTTCTGTGTGTGGTAGTCTGATACTGCTCTGTTACAGTTCTGGATTCCGCCCTTGGTAGCTGCTCTCCCTGCCTCTAGTCCTCTTACACAAGCCCAAGCTGGCTCTCCTTATTTGCAGATACATTTTTTATTTGTTTGTTTACACTTTTGTGTATCTGTGCATCTTAGAAGGGATACTTCGGGTGGCAAGGCAAATAGTCCTTCCTGCTAAATGTTTTGTAAATCCGCCTGCCTCTGCCTCCTTAGTGCTGGGATTAAGGGTGTGAGCCACCAACCCGGCTATCTCCGCCCCCCCCCCTTTTTAATAAAATTGAGCTGTGACATTTTAATTTATGCTTGTTACATGTAACATACTTTATTTTAATAATTCTAGCTGGCCTCAGCCATGTGGAGGATGCCAACAAAAAGGAGGAGGTTGATTCTCAGAAAAACACCTCCAAACAGGACCAGGCTAGTTTGGACTGTGTAAAACAACCCCCTGGACAGCCAGAACCTGAGCAGTCGGCTAATAGCAAGGAAGAAACACTGGAAGGAGAGAGGGAAGACAGAGTGACGTCCCAGGCAGGGAATGGTAAGTCCTGCTCGGACAATCTCTGTATGAGGTCTAGAGATACGGCTCAGTTGGCAGAGTTCTTAGCATGAGTCTGTGGCTTCAGTCCCCAGCACTGCATACACCAGTTGTGGTGAGTTTGTCATCCCAGCACTCGGGAGGAAGAGACAGGGACATTGTGAATTCAGGGTCATCTTTGGTTACATAGTGAGTCTGAGGCTAGCCTGAGCTATATGAGAGCCTGTTTCAAAACTAACCAACTAAATAAATAAGTACCATAAACTTTAATACGTAATAACTTACTACATTTATGATTGATACCTTATCCCAAGTACGTTTTGTCCCCTTTTATGAAAGTTAAAACCATCTCCCTCTCTCAGAAACATCTTTCAATACCGGATGACTCTCTGCCGGCATCGACACTACGTAGTATCACCACCAGCAAATCGCTGCTGCCCCCAGAATGTTGCCCTGCCCAGCCACAGTGAGCTCACTGACAGGGAGAGAGAGAGCTGTTTTTATTTGGGTAGTACATCAAGTCACAGTAATCAGATTGACAGAGAACCAACAGCCCTTCAGCAAATCATTAATCTTTTTCACAGTGAATGCTTTGAGATGGCTACACTCAGCATTTTTTAAGAAACCATTTTCAGGACCATAATTTCAAGGCTGTCTGAAGTGAGCTCGAGAGACGCACTGAGGGCAGCGGTCAGCACAGTTGCTGGGCCACTGATGTGTTGAGGAGGTATTGTCTGCACTCATTATTTAACCGGGGCCTGGGGGGCTTAATTTTAGTAGTTCCAGGGGTCCCGCCCAGGGTCTTTGTATTTTAGACAAATACTCTACCACTGGACTACAGCCTCAGCCCCTTTGACTCTAATTATTGTGTAGACTTGTCTCCAAGTTTTGTTTCTCCTGAAGAATTCTGGATGCTGGGACCAAGAAAATACTTTCAAGACTGATGAGGGAATAAGCATGTGTAGTCATCTCCTTGTGGATGAGACAACAGCCACAGGGAACCGGGCACATCAGTGACACTCAGCAGGGTAGTCGTGATGCTCATAATCAAATGGGGATATTCAGTCCCAGCTGCAATATGCTCAGCAAAGGGGAGAAATTCTAAACCCCTTCAAGTCTGGTAATGGTTTCTGGTAGTGGGGAAGCGTCCCTTCTGACAAACTCTATCTTTACAAATGATTCCAAATCTATTGCTTCTCGTCCAGTCATTAGCAAAGAAGGCCCAGGTTTCAGATATGCCAATGCTCTTAGAAGACCTGCCTTGAGAGTTTTATTTCAGGCCTAGACAAGAATTGCTAACCAAATGTGTTGGTTTCTATACATAGCTATTTCATCATTCTAACCTGCACAACAGTGAAATAAGCTATTTTTGGAAGATCTATTTTTAGTTTATCTATGTGTATGACCATGTGTGTAGATACCCAGAGAGGCCAGAAGAGGGCATCAGATTCCCTGAAACTGAAGTTACAGATAGGTGTGAGCCACCCAAGTGGGTGGGGGGCATCAAACTGCAGTCTCTGAAAGAGCAGCAAATGTTTTTAGCTGCTGAGCCATCTCTCCAGGCCCCAAATACGCTATTTTAGACAGAGAATAGACAGGCCTTTCAGATTCTCTCCCCCCGCCTTTTTTTTTTTTTTTTTTTTTTTGGTTTTTCGAGACAGGGTTTCTCTGTGTAGCTTTGCGCCTTTCCTGGAACTCACTCTGTAGCCCACGCTGGCCTCAAACTCACAGAGATCTGCCTGGCTCTGCCTCCCAAGTGCTGGGATTAAAGGCATGCGCCACCACATGGTGCATGCCCGGCTCAGATTCTCTTTTGTCTTCTTCATTAGAGCAGTTGAATAACCCAGGCACCCTGCCAGTGTGTGAGACCTTCATGTTTTGTGCAAGTAAGAACACAGACCGGATCCACCTCTATACCAAGGTAAGTGCCACACAGATTCTGTATCTCAAAGTATAAAGCCAGGCTTCCTTTCTTCACTTCTTAATGGAGATCTTTTTTTGTTTTGTTTTGTTTTTCAAGACAGGGTTTCTCTGTGTAACAGCCCTGGTTGTCCTGAAACTCACTCTGTAGCCCAGGCTGGCCTGAAACTCAAGAGATCCACCTGCCTCTGCCTCCCGAGTGCTTGGATTAAAGGCGTGCGCCACCACCAGCTGCACTCACATTTTCTAAAGCAGAATACCGTGCTGAGAAGAGCAATACCATCCCCATTTGTCAGCTCCTCTCTAGTTTCAGTCGAAGACTGGGGTCTGGGTGTAATGGTGCATCTCTATAACCCCAGCAATGGGGAGGCTGAAGCAGGGGAACTCCAGTTCGAGGCCAGCCTGGGCTGTTGTAGCATGATCTTGTCTCAACAAGACAGATGGAGACTGTTACGGAGAACTCAGTCATACGGGGTAAGAGCTTGACGGGCAGATAAGAACCCCCAGTGTTACAGTGTGTGACTTTGTGGCCCCATGAGAAGGTCTTGGAGACCATGTGAGGATCGTTATCCTAACCACACCGATAGAAGTACGGAGAAGTTGGCAGAGATTTTAAATACCTGTTTCTTCAGTTTTGAACTTGTAATAAGTTTAGCTGCACAAACTGTAATTCTATAACTACACGGTCTATTCTATTGAAAGAATACTTTTTGTCTCTTCACTATTAGATTTCTTTGGTGTGGGGCATTCTTGTGCCACAGCAAGTGTGTGGAGGTGAGAAAAAAACTCACAGGGCTCCGTTCTCTTGTTCTATCATGTGGGTTCAGGGAAGTGAAAGGCTTTTTAAAACATGGCTATGAAGCTGAGGGTGCTGCTTAATGAAACAGTATTTGCTGGGCATACACAGGCCCCAAGTTTAATGTCCAGCACTGGAGAGAGAGAGAGACAGAGACAGAGACAGAGACAGAGACAAACAGAGAGAGAGAGAGACAGAGAGAGAGAGAGACAGAGAGAGAGAGAGAGAGAGAGACTTACAACCAAACTACTTTCAACTGTGTTATCTGCTAAAGCAGATTTGATATATGGTGTGCTGTACAATCATATTCAGTCAGAAGGAAAGGTTTGTACAGATACCAAATCACCACACAGCATCCACTGTTGGACCAAAATGACCTTGAGTCACCAGAGACCAAGCAAGGCGGTACTTGTTACCCTTGTGGGCCTGAATCCCAGCCCACCCTGTGGAGCCTCTACCTGAGGGAGGCAGACTGGAGAGCACGTGGGACTTCTCCACTCATCTCCAAGCAGTCTTTAGTGCCTGTGCCAACCTCTTCATGGGGGTCCAGGCTGTGCCCTCTCGCCATCACCAGGAAGGAGCAGAATGGTGACGCCCTCATGGATATGTGAAGATGAGGAGCCAAGAGACTGCCCAGTCAGAACACAGCAGGGCCTCAGAAGCCCCTTGGGTCTGTGAACACTATCATATCATCAGTGTTTTTCCCCTAGAGGTGGGGACCGGGAGAGACAACAAGCCTGATAAAAGGGGGAACACCTAAGCAGCCTGCCAGCCTCCTGCCTGGGCTTCCTGTCCTTAACATTTCTGTCCACAGTCTCACAGACATTTTTATGACTGTTCTAAATGCTGACATATCCATTACCATAAAAAGGTGTCATTCATCTACTGCCGTTTCCTAAACAGATGTAGATGGATGGAATGTGACATCTTTTCACAGCTGAGACTGTGTGGAGATGAAAGTTTACCTTTTCACCCCAGAACTTCTAGAAGTCTATAAAACCCCTAGTTCACTGCCTGCGAGTGAACCCCATAAAGGAGAAGTCAGTAACAGAAGCTTAGCATCCTATGTCACAGAGAACTGATTATTGCCAGGAGAATCCCAAATCCAAGGTTTGGAATTCTATCTCCCAACTTTAGAATTATATATTACATACACGAGTAAATGTCATGTCATAAAGGCGTCCATCGTTTTCTTCTTCCAATGATCCGCCAGCACTGTTTTGATGAAGAGACGTGAACATGAGCAAGTGTTGTTGATGTAGTGAGTTTTCATATGGCAGTCGTCTCCCCCTTTAAAAAGGAGATGACATGCACTCACTCGTGCATGAGATGATGCTCCCCAGTGCAGCTTCAGTCTCCTCTCCAGGCAGGGCCATGGACCTGCTCCTCATGGAGCAGCAGTGTGACATGGCTTTGAGAAGCCGAGTTTTCAACAAGTCTCTAGAATTTCTCTTCTCCCTTCCCCTCCTGCCAGTGACAATGGGCAGCTGTGTCTGCCCACTGGGAAGGGATAGACAGATGTTTATCGAGCTGTTGTTTGACGGGAGTTATGTCTTTAAGACTGTAGAGAAGATGACTTGGGGATTTGGAGGTGGTTGTGTTCATGTCAAGGATGCACAGTTCCTCTGGATTAGCTGACAGGTCTCCATCATCTCCATGTATGTCTCCAAGGTCAGGCAGTAGAGAAGTCTGTCGGGGCAGTCAGTGCAGCCTCCAGGCTGCTGACGACGGACAGCGTGGACTGTGTACAGGCAGAGTGAGAGGGCCAAGCAGACGCCATAGCAGGCCGCTCAGTCTTTTCCCGGAGATCAGGCCTCAATTTCCATTTCCTGAGACTGAGCAAGCAGTTTCTGAGAGGGTCGTGAACAAAAGACGATTCATCACTGATGCCCCTGTCAGCAGGGACAGGGAGATAGGCTGTACCAAGCCTGGGCCACTGAGTCAGCCCCCACAGTCAGCACGTGCTAGGCCAGCCAGCCTCCATGGCAGTTCAAGGACAAAGCCTGGGACTTGTCCAGGCCTGCCCAAAAATGGATAACTGCAACCCCCAACTAACCCTAGCCAATTAAAAGTTACTAACATGATTGCCACTCGCATAAACCAATCCTGAGTCTGTTCCTATGTAGTCTGTAGACCCCAAGACCCCCCCCCCCCTTGCTTTATCCCCTATAAAAACTTGCCCCATTGCTACTCAGGGTCTCTCCTGCTCTGCTGCTGCATCAGAGGGATGGAGAGGCCCAGGTTAACTTGCAACAATAAAAAGACTCTTTGCTTTTGCATTAGATGTGGTCTCTTGATGGCTTTTGGGGGACTCTGGGTACAAGAGTAAAGCCTCGGCCCCCCACCTCAGCTCTGCAGGGGACTCATGTTGGGTACGCCCTTGTCTAGAATGTGCCTCCTAGTGTTTTTTTTAGGAGATTGGTCATGCTACATCATGACTAAACTTTTCTTATACAGTAGTTACTAGTACCTACAGATTAATCGCACTAACAATGTCTCCTCATCTGTTATCAGGATGGGAAACCGATGAGCTGTAATTTCATTCCTTTGGATATAAAATTAGACCTTTGGGAAGACTTGCCAGCAAGCTTTCAACTAAACCAGAGTCGCTCACTGGTAAGAACACTTCTAAATAATGCACTTGCATTTATCTGAAAGAAAACTATTTTAGTAATGTTAGACGTCATTTTTGGTTTAATGAAGCAAACCTTATGGCTGTGGCAGAGTCAGGTTGCAGGCTGCATTTTTATCCACCCAGGCAGTGTCTATTAATTCCACCGGTGCTAAGAATAAATCTGTTTCCTTGCTGAGTGATCACACCTGGCGCGGCTGCTGAGCACAGAGTCATCCTCACATCTCTTCACGCTCATCCGCCAGATTAGCAGCTGTGACACATCTGTCAGAATCACACTGTCTTCTAAGGCTAAATTCTAACACTGGCACACTCCAAGAGCCAGGGTAATACCACACTGTGACTCTGGACTCATTGCCAGTGACCCGGCTGCTGCAGCTGCAGGCCAGGCAGCTGCCAGGGAGACCTTAACCTCCACCCTCCTCGTGCATGCCACCATTTGCATTTTCAAGAAAGTAGTGGGCTTTTATTTCTGTTTTTACTACCCTGTTAATGGAAATGAAGCAGTGCTGGGGGTCAGCTGCACCCCTCTAGTAGGAAGAGGGAGCAGGGAGCTGTTGTCTTTGGTATCAGTTAGTACTGATGCTCAGATTCAGGAAGATGATAGATGAGATAGATTGAATAGATGCAGTTATAGATACATAGATATATGAGTGATAGAGATACATAGATGATAAGTAGTAGGTAGGTAGGTAGATGTGTAGGGAGTATCCATTGCAGGCTCGCTCTCTCTCTCTCTCTCTCTCTCTCTCTCTCTCTCTCTCTCTCTCTCTCTCTCCCTCCCTCCCTCCCTCCAAACCCAGAGCTTGCTGATTCAGTTAGAATGACTAGCCTGTGAGTTCCAGGAGTCTATCTTGCCTTCCCAGTCCTGGGGGTTCAGGTGCACGCCACCACAGATGGCTCTTCTGTGGGTGCTCTGGATCTGTGGTCAGGTCCTCACACTCGCACAGCGAGCTTCCCCCACTGAGTCATTTCCCCACCTCCAGCATGGAGGTTTTCTGTTGTGGGTGAGGTGGACCAGGCGGGGAGGGTTGCCAGTGCCTGGTGACAGTGACAGCAATACTTCTGTCTGTCTGTCTTGATGTGGGGTTTGTAGTTTCCAGGCCAGCCTCACCCCAACTGACCACACAGTTACAGGGTTTCTGCTGGAGATGCCTGGAGGCAGACACTGTCTGGGCAGAGGGATTGCAGGTCTCCAGGCTTCACCAAGGTGGTGTCTCATCTCCCTTGGTGCTGCCAAAGGGAAGGCACGGGCTGAACACCCAGAATCCCCAAATCTGATAGATAGATTGATAAAGAACAATTGTGATAATCCTCAATTTATTGCTGGCTTTTGTCCTGTGGTGTCTGAGACCTCTAATACAGTGTGATCGTGGAAGTTGCACCATCCCCTGTGGCCCCTACAGAGTCTGCCTCCCTGAGGCCAGCTTTCCCGGGCTGCTTCAGGGGTCTATACTTCTACCCTGTTCTGCTCTCTGTGAGCACATTCTCACTGTGGACGCCTGTGTTCAGAGCGTGTGCTGGGCTGCTGAAGTGCCTGCCGTTAGAGACTCTGGATTGAACTTGGCATAGGCAATTCATAACACAAACGTAGTATCAAGTTGAAGAACAACACACTTTAGGACTCAACCTGTTGAGGGGTGCTGTAAGACATCGATTTTCTCATGTTGTAAACAACCCGACTTTCAAAGGAAGGGACACGGAGAACAGTTAACTGCGCGTCATTTCTTTTCTACCAGATTTTGAGGTTTGTCCGAGAATGGAATAGTCTGACTGCCATGAAGCAGAGGATGATCAGGAAAAGTGGACAACTGTTCTGCAGCCCAGCCCTGGCCTTGGAAGAGATCACAAGACAACAGGCCAAAGGAAACAGTGCTAAAAGGTGACAGTGGTCTTTCCTTTGCGTCTTGTAGGATATTGCTTTCCATGGCTGCTTCTATGGGCCATCTGAGGCACCTCATGGAACCATTAATGAAATTTCAGTAAGTTGAAGAAATTATGCTGAGGATGTAGTTTGTAGATAGAGTGCTTGCCTGGCATATGCAAGCCCTGGGTTCCTTCGTAGCACTGAATAAGCCAGTTGCAGGGCACACATTTGTAATGGCATCCCGTAGGAGGCAGAGGAATCAGGAATGAGGATCAGGAATTCAAGGTCATTCTCAGCTATATGGGGAGTTCAAAGCTAGTCTGGGCAATGTGAAGCCTTGTTTTAAGAGAAGGAGGGAGGGAGAAAGAATTATACTTAAAATAATAGTTACATCATTTCATAGCAACATAGTTATGTATGTAGTGAATTCAATAAGATCTGCTGAGCCAGGCAGACCTTAGATTAAGGCACAGGCCTTTAATCCCAGCACTTGGGAGGCAGAGGCAGGCCAGCCTGGGCTACAGAGTGAGTTCCAGGAAAGGTGCCAAAGCTACACAGAGAAACCCTGTCTCAAAAAAACAAAACAAAACAAAAAAAACAAGATCTGCTGGAAGACATCAGATTGTCTGGATTTTGCTTATTGGGAATCCTGCTCATTAACAGAGAGGTTGGTGCACCTGTGACCTACTAAGCCCGGGCAGTTACACCAGAGAGACCTCTCACCTGAGAGCCACAGAGCAGGCCCTGGGACTCTAATCTGCCATGCAGCAGGGGGCTGTTCCTATTGTAGTACACCATCCCGTTCCCAGAAGAGGAAGGTAACTGTCAGGTCTGTGGTTGGAATAAAGGGTAACTGTGACACATTTTCACTGTCACCTGCCATCTTCACCAGAAGTCCATTTCTAATACCTGTGTGTGACACTGTCAGCATCTGCGTCTCGCTTCAGTGACTGTCTCTGTGATCTTCAACCCCGGTTCTCTCAGCACGGACCAAAGAGTGCCAGGAGCAGTTGCCAGCTGCCCTGTAGTAAAGTTCTTTCTTTGAAGGAAGTCACAGAGTGACAAACCTACCCAAGACACCTTCCTCCATAAGTCTACATCTGCCTTAGGAAATGAGGGACTGGAGGGGTGGTCCAGTGTTTATGTGCACTGGCTGCTCTTGCCGAGGACCTGGGTTTGGTTCCCAGCACCCACATAACAGCTCACAACCATCTGTAACTCCAGTTCGGGGAGGTCTAGTTCCCGCCTCTGGCCTCCACAGGCACCATGTTCCCAGAAGTGGGAAATAACTGCTCTAAGGGTCAGGCGTGTTTCTAGGAGTCAAAATGTCTGGAGCCTTTTAGATTATCACAGCTACAGGACACACCTAGGGATCGCCTTGATTAAGGAGTCAGCCGTGGGAACAGAAGGAGGAGAATGAAGAAAGCTGTTCCCAGGGTTCGTCCAGACACCTTGCTGACTGACCACAGAAAGGGAAGTCTTGCAGGTAGACCTTTGCAGCCGCAGAGGGAGCAGCTCGGCACTGGGGTCCTGTGCTGGACCTCAGTGGGTGGCAGTGGCAGGAGGGAGGGTGTGTCCGCAGAGCAGGTGTGGAAGACCGGGGGAGTGGCAGAGCTCTGCCGGAGGCAGCACCAGACTCCAAGTCTCTTTCTCTCCCCTTGCCGTCTACCTGATCATTTCTTAGAGAAATTCAACCCAGAAGCCTCTTAGAAGCCCTCAGCCCAGTGGGCATGAGGGAGAGGCATCACACTTCACACCGTAGGCATGCACAAGGAGGATTCGTTTCTTAAAATATGAAATGTCAGGCTGGAGACATGGCTCAGTGTGTACATCGCTTGTATGAGGACCAGGGTTCATTACCCCAGCACCCACATAGAAGCTGAGTTGTCCCAGCAGTCAACTCAGGACGCAGACAGGGCTCCTTTGGGCAAGTTGACTAGCAGGACCAGCCAAACTAGTGAACTCCAGATGCAGCAAGAGACCCTGTTTTGGTAAAGTGGAAAGTGACCCAGCAAGACACGTGACAACCCTTGGCCTCCACATGCATGTGGACCCGCAGATACAGAATCACACGTGTACACGCACACACACACAATGTCTCAAGGACCCTCAGATACAGAATCACACGTGTACACACACACACACACACACACACACACACACACACACACACACACAATGTCTCAAGAAGAGCAACAACAAACAAGACATAGGAACTCAGTTTTGGGACTCCTGAACAAATGATTAGGTCCCCAGAGATTAGGCCCCAGCAAACAGCCCCAGCAGTGACCGGCCTTATCCAAGCTGAGGCCTTGCAGCCGGCTTCCAGGTCACTCAGTCCGGGTGACTGGGAATGACCAAGACCAGCAACTACTGCGTCGGTTCCGAATGAGTTCCACTTCTCAGTGACCAGGCCTGAGTGAGTAGCAGCCCTGTCATGCAGGTCCTCCAGCAGCCGGTCAGCAGCCTGGGATTATACCCATCACTGTGAGCTACTTTCCAAAGCACATGCTTCTTCCTTTTCTGTTTGACAAAATTGAGATTTACCATAATCCTTGTTTTGTTTTTTTCAAGACAGGGTTTCTCTGTGTAGTTTTGGTGCCTGTCCTGGGTCTCGCTCTGTAGACCAGGCTGGCCTTGAACTCACAGAGATCTGCCTGCCTCTGCCTCCCAAGTGCTAGAATTAAAGGCGTGCACCACCAACGCCTGGCCCATAATCCCTTTTTGAGCTGGCATACTTTCTTGAATGTCTGCAAACCACAATGAAATATGAAAAAATTAAAAGGTGTCAATTCCCTCCTTTGTAGTCAATCTTTTTCTTGTCATTTCTAAAAACTTATGTTTAAACCTTTTATATGAAAGCAAGTGATTGTTTTCAGTTTTTAAGTCTCTGACTAGATGTCTTAGCACCTCTGAGATCACTGAATCAAGTGTCTGACCCATTACCCATTGACCAATGTGGGTCAGGCTTCATAGCCCCTACTCTGCAAAGTTGAGGGAGTTTGAGCTCATTTGGAACCCTCAGAAATGTGTTGGCAAAAGGCTTTTGTCGGGAATAAAGCAGTTGGGGGATGGAGGCCAAGGAGGAGGCTTGGGGGCTAAAAGGACAGGGTAATTCACTGTGAATTAACCTAATCTTTGCTTTAAGAGACAGACGTAAGTACACGTATAAACGTATAAAAAGTTTCTCCTGTGCAGACTCACAGAAAAGTGCAACTTTAGGCTACAGACGGACAGCTGTTAGCAGAGGGTTGGTGTTCTTTGTTTCTGTAGCCCAGGCTGGCCTTGAACGCCTCCATTCCCCTGCCTCTGCTTCATAAGTACCAAGATTACAGGCCTGTGATACTATAACCAGCTAGCAGAGATGTGTGTGTCTGTGAGTGTGTGCACATATTCTTGTGTGAGTGTGGTGTGTGCATGCCATGGCACACATGTGGAGATCAGAGTACAACCTGGGGTGTTGGTCCCTGCCTTCTGCCTCGCTTGAGACAGTCTCTTCTTGTTCATCGTTGGCCATACTGACTGGATGGCCCAGAAACTCCCAGGGTCTGTGTCTCTGCCTCACACCACACCACAGGAGCACTGGGGTTCCAGGTGCCTCCAACCGTGTTATTCTTAGTGGCTTTGCTGTGCTAGTGAAAATGTGAGGAGATGAGTATTCTCTGCTGATGGAGTGCTGTACTGCTGCATTGCAGAGGAGACCCACACATAAAGCAGCCAAGACTTTGGTCGTTTTTCTTTTTCCAAGACAGGGTCTCACTGTATTCTCTGGCTGTCCTCTAACAGAGATCCACCTGCCTCTGCCTCTCCTAAGTGCTGCAACTAAAGGCATGTGGCACTGTGCCCAGCTCAAAGCAGCCCAGACTTTTAACCTAGAGATTCTAGTTCTGGGGATGTAGTATATATGTATGTGTTTCCATTTTGTAGGGGGGTACATGTGCACATGTGTGTATGTGTTTCCATTTTGTTTGTGGGGGGGTGCATGTGCACATGTGTGTATGTGTTTCCATTTTTTGTGTGTGTGTGGGGGGGGTGCATGTGCACATGTGTGTGTGTGTGCATGTGGAGATGTCAAGAATCATCCTCAATTGCTTTTCCACTTTATTCATTGAGGCACGTCTCTGAAACCCAGAGCTTCCCTATATGGCAAGCTTCTGAGGCAGAGCTACAGGTGGGATGCCACCCATCTGGCGTTTACATGGGTTCTTGGGCATCCAAACCCTGGTTCCCACACTTGCTCATCAAGCACTTTAACCCCTAAGCTGTCACTGTAATCCCTATATATACAGTTCGTGTGTAAAAAATACAGTGGAGGCTGGAGAGTGGCTCAGGGGTTAGGAGTACTGGCTGCTCTTCCAGAGGACCCGGGTTCAATTCCAGCGCCCACACGGCAGCTCAGAACAGCCTGTGTATAACTCCAGCTCCAGGAAATCGGATGCTCTCTTCTGACTCCAACATGCACTAGTCACACACGTGGTGCACAGATGTGTGTGCAGGCAAAACAGCTGTACACATAAACCAAAGTGTTTTAAGAGACTCGTGTCCTCCCTAGAGTCTAGAGCATTTTTAAATGTGGTGGGTATAAATGTATGCTGTCGCCCAACAGCCCACTAATCAGAAACTGGGTACACAGATTATCATACATCGGTTTATCCTCCACATGGTAGAGAGGCCTGGAACCATTACAAGGAATGTGGGGCTGGGCAGATGGTTCAGTGAGTCAAGAGAACTTGCTCTGCAAGCATGAAGGCCAGTGTTCAAAACCCCATCACCCATGTTACAAAACAAAAAGCTGAGCATGAAGAAGTTCATGTTTAAATTCATGTGGAACTTAAAATATCCATAATAAGGGTAATAGCATAGAAACTGGGCCATGCTAATTAGAAAAAATTAATTGCGTCATTGCATTTTCACTAGCACAACAATGCCACTAACTGACGTGGGAGCCAGAGCCTCTCACACACTAGCAGTAACACACCTGGTTTAGACACTGGAGGTAAATAGAAAGTAAATCAGTTCTGCTGAGGCTGTGGCAAGTTCAGGGGCAGTAGCCTCCAGCTTATGGGAGATCCAGTTGAACTCAGTTCACTAAAAGCATCACTTTGCACAAAAGCTTTCCGGTGTTGTAGCTGGCAGAGGTGTTGAGTTCAGAAGAGCAGGGGCACACTTGGAAAGTTTCTGTGCAGCTTGAAGGCAGTTTCCTTAAGACTGTCGGCCGGCCGTGTATTTGATCATTTCTAAGGCCCGCAGCCACTCTTTCCTTCCCCCAGATTTTGAAAAATTGTGTATTCTAGTTTTCTTGCTACAGTAGAATACTCTGACCAGTGGTAACTTGAACAGGAAAGGATTTGTCCGGCTTATAGTTGCAGGTCACACTCCATCAGTGAGGGAGGGAGGCTGGGAACGTGAGGCAGGAACTGAGGGGCAGGAACCATGGAGGTTCGCTGCTCTTGCTGGTCAGCGTTCTGGCTCCTGTGTGCATGCTGGCTTTCCTGTACGATGTGGGACTGCCCACAGTGGGCTGGGACCTCCTACACCCATGGCCTATCAAAACCATCCCCCACGGACACTCCCACAGGCCAGGCAGATCTAGGCAATTCCTCAACCAGGCCTTCCTCTCAAATAATTCTAGACTGTGTCTAGTTGACAATTAAAGGCGTGCACCACCAACGCCTGGCTGGTAGTGCATATTTTTAATACCAGCACTTCAGAAGCAGGGCCAAGCACATCTCTGATTTCAAGGCCAGTTTGGTCTACATAGGGAGTTCCAGGCCAGCCAGGACTACAAAGTGGAACTCAAAACAGAAAAGTATATAGAAACTCTTTTTTCTTTTTTTGTTTTATTACTATAGATTATTTGCACATACTAGTGGGTTTCATTGTGACATTTTCACACATGTATACAATGCAGACAATACATTTGTTCATTCTCACCCCCCATCACCCTCTCCGGTCCCCTTCCCACTCCCACTGACCTCCTTCCTCTTCCCAACTCGTCTGTCTTCTGCATCCACACCTGTGTGTGACCTATGAACCTACTCAGGGTTGCTGACATGAGCATGACTGATGTAGTCACTGGCGCATGGACACCTCATCAGTGGCTACACACTAGCAATGTCTCTTCCTCCTCCAGACACTCCTATGTGAGAAAAATCTATTTAACATCTAACTGTTCCAGATACATCACTAAAGAAGATGTTGCCATGGCCTCCATGACCAAGGTGAAAACTGATGGGGGCCACATCCGTCTGATCACCAGGGAGCCCAGGCCGCAGGACCCTTCTTCAAAGTAAGTGCCCCATGACACCTAGAAATAGGAAAGAGTACTGCTTCAGACTTATGCACCAGTTTCTGTGATAACAGCCCCCATGGTGTGACCACTTTAGAGGTCACAAAACAGTGTCATGATTTAATAGCTTTTTAGACCTTCTGACAACCCTCATAGGTCCATGAGCTCAGAGTTGAGGAATACCCAAAGCCAGGAGCCTATGTGACCTGCCCCAAGCCTGAGTAAAGATGCCAGGAGACCTGATCTCAGTCCTACAAACTCTCTGCCAGCCTGGCACTGTTCCAGTCATATCAGCCTGGACGGTGGGGATCCTGATCAAGTGAGCGTGTGTCCTGCTGTGTTTCACTTCTATCTGTTATCTGATCAACTTGGAGTTTACCTGGAGAAACCCAGTATTTAGCAAGTGTTCTGTTCTAATCCCTGTCATTCTGACCTTGTAAGGCAGCAAAAAACCAGGAAGATTCACTCCATAGTGCCCTGAGGCTGAGGAGGTGTATAGGCCGCTGAGTGAGTCTCAGCGTATCCACTAGGGTTCTGGAGCTTTCACGTTAGTTTGAATGGGCATTTCAATAGATCTCATTGTCCAGCATCATCTGATGTCTGGAGGTGCTGGGGGCGGGGGCACTTCAGTGCCTCAAAGAGGCTGCTTGTGTCAGATTCACTTTGGTGGCATGGCTTTTCTCAAGTTGGCTAGACTTTGGGGTCCTGACCACCGCTCTTTCGCCTCCTGACTGAACACCAGGTCTGAGGCCTCTCTACAGAGCAGTGGCCCAGCTTCACTGCTTACCTCCACGGTCTTTTGTTCAGTTGTAGAGAGCTTGACAGAGCCTGCGTCCCGTCTCTGAACCCCGGCCCAGCTGATCTCACTGTGGAGCCATCCCCATCCAAAGGCTACATCCAGGCTGTGGATAAGGAAGGCAGGCCGCTCTGTCTCCGCTGCCAGCATCCCACCTGCCAGGCTGAGCAGGGGTCCAAAGCCAGCGCCTGGGACTCACGGTTCTGCTCCCTGAAATGTCAGGAGGAATTCTGGATCCGATCCAATAACGGCTTCCTGAGAGCCCAGGTGTTTGCTGTAGAACATGGTGTGTGTCAGCTGTGCGGTGTGAATGCCCAGGAACTCTTTCTGCGAGTGAGAGATGCCCCTAAAAGTCAGAGGAAGAATCTTCTAGATGCTGCCTGGACTGCGAAGCTCCCATTGGAGCAGGTACGTCGTCGTGGCCTGTCAGGGCAGTGGTGCGGTCAGTTTCTAACCTTGTTAAAACACGTACGAAGGGAGAGGATACGAACCACAGCGTCCGCACTCACCGCGTTGTTGGCTTCCCTCTGCCGTCTTCCTTGTGCTTCTCGTGGGTAATGCCTGCCCGCTCCCTTCTCTCCACTCCTGAACTCCCCTCCCACCCGCCCTCCCCCTCCTTCCCCTTTCTTTTTTCTTTCTTTCTTTCTTTCTTTCTTTCTTTCTTTCTTTCTTTCTTTCTTTCTTTCTCTCTCTCTCTCTCTCTCTCTCTCTCTCCCTCCCTCCCTCCCTCCCTCCCTCCCTCCCTCCCTCCCTCCCTCTCTCTCTCTCTCTCTCTCTCTCTCTCTTTCTTTCTCCTTCTCTCCTTCTCTCCCCTTCCTCCCTCCGTCCTTTCTGGCTCCTTCCTTCCCGCCTTTTTGCCTCTCACCCTGCCCGTCCCTCGTCCTCAGCCTTCCCTCCCCCCTCTTCCCTCAGCTCTTCCTGTTTTACAGTATAATCACGGTGCACATGACTAACAGAATCAGAATTCCTCCATTATAGAAGTGCATGTTGGCGTCTCAAGACCGTCTCGTTTACTTTGTTCAGATTAGGATGGAAATCCGTTGTCTTCTTTCTGGTAGGAATGCTGGTTTCTTTGATGGATCTCCAGCACCCTTCCCTTTTCATACCATCGATGGGGAAGGAAACGGGATCATTTCCCTGGAGTCTCCTTCACTCTGTGTCTCACCGATCCACACGGTGTCCCCTGACATGTTTTCCTGACCCAGCAGCTTCCTGGGTAGTGGCCGTATGGTCTAGGGTGTGCTTGGATTCTGATTCTGTTTGCAGAGGTCACGTGGTGGTGAGTGGCCTGCAGACAGACACTGAGCTACTTCCAGGGTATCAGTATGTTAGGATGGGGCTTACAGGGGAACCCCAAAATGCAGCTCACAATGAGAAGGCTGTGTGTGTGTCCATTGTATAATACAGTTTTAGTAAAAGTTTATGGCCAGTTATTGTGCCTAGCACACTCACCAATAATCGCTTAGCTTCCCAAAGCACAATCAGAAGTCTCATCTTACAAAAACTGTTCTAAGTTTCCAACTAAAGGAAAATATTTCGTTTTGTGGTGTGCTTAATCAAAAAAGGATCACTCAAGCAATCTCTACCCACTGAAATATCCAATGAATTCCTGTCAGCTAAACAAACTATACATTTTTAACCAGGTATGGTGGCACATGCCTTTAATCCCAGCACTTGGGAGGCAGAGGCAAGAGGATCTCTGCCAAGTTCCAGGCCAGCCTGGTCTGCAGAGTGAGTTCCAGGACAGCCAGGGCTACATAGTGAGACCCTGTCTAAAATTAATTAATTATTTAATTAATTATTTTAAAATTTTTATATGTTTTAATTTCCCTGGTACATTATGATAGAACTAGTTAGCTAACATTCATTTCTAAAAGATGAATTAATGTAGCTCTTGGATCTAGAGAAACACATGTTTCTCTAACACGATTCCTGAGATTCCCCTTGCTCTAACTGATGAGGGAGAAGCTGCACTCTTCAGAGGAATGTCAGTCAAGCTCCCATACTGCCTGCTGCCCAGGCATGCGGGCTTCCTGAAGCTGAGTGCTGAAATGACTCAGGATCATCTTGAAAGTGACCTGTCTAGGAACGTAGCAGTCACATGGTAGACACCACACCCAGGAGGGCTGAGGGAAGAAGCCTTAGCAGGAGTCTTTCCTGAGGCAAATTCAGCATGTTGAAAGCTGGTCTCCAGGGATCTGCTGCACATTTACCAGGGAAAATAAAGACACGTCTTCTGGATCATTGAGTCTGTCAGTTAAAGATGCTCAGAGAGAAAGAATTGGCTGCAAAAAGCAGCACCAAATGGATTCTTTTCTTCTAAGAATATGCCATTTAGAATGACATTTGTAGTTACTTCTAAAACTCAATCTGTTCCTTCTAACAAAAGGCTGCAAGTTGAGTACAGAAGAGAGAGAGGCAGGCAGTGACAGACATCACCAGGACAGACTTCCCTGCACCAGCTGGCTGTCTGGAAACTCACTCCCTGGGGGTCGGCACTATTGGTCGGGTCACAGGTCCATCCCAGAGCCCTACACACTTCCTTAAAAGTGCCTTCCTTACAAATGTCCAGTTTGGCCAGCACCGTCTACTCGATGGGTTGTCTTTTTTCCAGGGTTCATGTTTGACACCTGTCTTAGTTAGGATTTCTATTGCTGTGAAGAGACACCATGACCACAGCAACTCTTATAAAGGAAAACATTTAATTGGGGCTGGCTTATAGTTCAGAAGTTTAGTTCATTATTGTCAGGGCAGGAAACATGGTGGTGTGTAGGCAGACATGGTACTGGAGAAGAAGCTCAGAGTCCTACATCTTGATCTGCAGGCAGAAGGAGACTATGTGCCACACTGGGCATAGCTTGAGCATAGGAGACCTCAAAGCCTTTCTCCAACAAGGCCACCCTCATTCCAAGGAAGCCACACCTCCTAACGATGCCACTCCCTATGGGCCAAGTATTCAAACACATGAGTCTTTGGGGGCCATTCCTATTCAAACCACCACAACACCTTTGTCAAACATTAGGGGTCCTTGGTTGTATGGGTCTGTTTCTGGGTCCTCTGTTGTGTTCCACTGGTCTATGTGTCTGGTTTGTGCCACAGTATACTACTGTCTTTGTCACTCTGAGGTCAGGACTATGATGCCTCTGGCTGTGTTTCTTTCTGCTTTAGATTGAAATAATCATGGGTTCCTATGGCCAGCATTCATGAAATTAATTATAATTTCTTTCTTATCCAAGACTAAAAAAATAAAAACATCTTACATACTAATCTCTGATGTTTAAACAGTTGCAGTACCCTAGTGCATGCTGCTTTTACTATCTCAGGTAAAATGGTCAGATGGATCTCATTTTAGCATAGGGGATCGATGTGTGTGTAGACTGGCCTAGATGCTGGCTGTTTGAAGTAGCTCCAAATATGCACATATTCCAACTATGCAAGGTACAGAAGTTTGTTGTGGAGATTTCCTGCCATGCCAGTCCATGGAAGCTGGGAAACTGTCTGGTAAATAACCAAGTTCTGGCCAGAGCTGGGGATGCGACTCAGTTAGTAGAGAGGTTGCCTAGCACACAGGGAAGCCTGGTTCTAGTTCCAGCACTGCATAAACCCAGCATGGTGCTGCATGCTGGAAGTCCAGCGCGTGGAGGTGGAAGAGGAGGGCCAGGAGTTCAAGGTCATACTTGGCTACATGATTAGTTTGATACCAGACGGGATACAAGAGGTCTTACCTAGAAAATAAAAGCAAACACAACATTGTGGAGGCTAGGTTAACCTGCTATTGATATAGGAACAAATGTGTTTAGGTCAACAATGAACGGTTACTTAGTTATTAATTTCCAATCTGTTCTTACTCTGTCGCTTTTGGTTTCATAAATATATAAAGCAACTTAAAAGGTCAAAAAACAACCATTTTCCCCTCAACTGTCAGGAGCCTTGGTATCGTATATTTGGTTATAAGGTTTTCCAAATATGTTAGGGGGGGAAAACTCTTTTAGAAAGACATTTTATTGCTTTCAAATTGCTAACCTAGCATTTTGTGGGGGTTTCTACTCACAACAAAAGCTCTACGAGGCATCCTAATGTGTTTCTCCCTGTGACTTTGCTGTATGAAGGGATCGCAAAGTGCACAGCCCACAGTTCCTGGAGCAAATCTGGAGAGCTGCTGATCGTGTGTTCTTCCTGCAGCTAAATGAAATGCTGAGGGACCCGGGAGAAGGCCACTTCTGGCAGGCGGATCACATCAAGCCGGTGTATGAGGGGGGAGGACAGTGCTCCCTGGACAACCTGCAGACACTCTGCACAGTGTGCCACAGGGAGGTGAGTGACACGTTCCTGGGGGGCTGCACAGGTGGGCGAGGCTGGGCGAGCCCCACCTCGGAGCGGAACGCACGCACGCTGCTTCTTTCGTCGTTCTGACTCTTGGCTCTGTGGCAGTTTGTAGTCACAGACGCGAGGACCCTGGGACCCTCTTAATTCACTCTCTGGGCAGAGGATGCTGCTCAGTGGGGAGAGCAGTCACTGAACACACATGAGGGCCTGGGTTCCATCCCACACCACACAAACTGGGTGTGTTAGTACAGAAGGAGGCAGAAGCAGGGGGATCAAGAGTGAGGCCAGCCTGGTCTACAGAGCGAGTTCCAGGACAGCAGAGCTACACAGAGACTCTGTCTAGGGAAAAAAAAGTTCTAGGTCAGCCAGACATGGTAGCACAGCACTGGAGAGGCAGGTGGATCTCTGAGTTCAGGGCCAGCCTGGTCTATATAGTAAGCTCCGGGACAGCCAGAGCTAGACAGTGAGAGCCCATCTCAACAACAACCACCACCACAAAAAAGAGTCCAAGCCATTCTCGCTACTTAGTGAGTGTGGGGTTGGCTATGTAGCTAAAGGAATAAAGACATCACCAAAAGGAATGCCATCTCTCCTGTGTTTGTTTGTTTGTTGGATTCTCGTGAAAATTTTTACTTAGATTTAGCAGAAGAATTGATTCTATCCCATTGGACTTTCTACAGTGTCTAAGTATTGAGTTGGGAATGAATTTTCTGAGCTGGGCCCAGATAATAAGAAGAGGACAAACTTTTTACCCACTGAATGCTGGGGATTTTTAGATGTGTTATAAGCACCCACTAAGATGAGGAGATGCATGGCTTCTCTTAGTTCCCAAACGCAGGATTCGTAGTCTACTGGGCAGTGAGACATTCTCCACAAGAATACGTTTTCTCGCCTGGCGATGGTGGCCCACGCCTTTAATCCCAGCACACGGGAAGCAGAGCCAGGTGGATCTCGGTGAGTTTGAGGCCAGCCTGGGCTACCAAGTGAGTTCTAGGAAAGGCACCAAAGCTACACAGAGAGACACTGTCTCGAAAAAAAAAAAAAAAACTGTTTTCTCCGGAGACCAGTAAATTCAGGATCTCAGGGCACTTGCCAGTGCTGCCAGACTCCACCCGTGGCATGGAGCACCTCCTCGGGGTTAAACCCTGCACATGTGGATAATGCACATTTTCCAGACTGCAGCACAGTCTTTCCCTGACCTGCACCTTGCATTTGCTGACTTCTAGAGAACTGCCCGACAAGCCAAGGAAAGGAGTCAGGCGAGACGACGCTCCCTGGCATCAAAGCACGGATCAGACATCACTCGGTTCCTGGTGAGGAAGCAGAGCGAGGTGTAAACAGAGCGAATGGCCTGCAGGTAGAGGGGTTCGACACGATGTCTCTTCATGTTTCTCTAGTATTTTAACAGTGAAAAGTTTTTAAACATAATCAAGAACTGAAATTTAGATTTTGTGCTTAAGTACCTAGCAGATGCTGAGGTGTGACCAGAAGCATTTCTGTGGTCTTGTGACTTCATGCAGATTGTCAATTATGTTTCAGCAAGATTTTGTTCAGCTTTTGTTTCCCCTAATACACTTTCATCCCTGCATTGTGCATAGATAACATGTGATAAATATATTCCCAATCACTGGACAATTGCTTCTTGATTTGTCTTGCTTCTGGATTGTGTAGAACATTCCAGAAAAGTCCGGGAAATTTTGGAGGTAAGCCATCATTACTACGGAATTCTGGGCAGACCACGACCAGCCTGCTTCCTGTACAAGAGCCTCCAAAATGGGCTTGGGTGTGTGTTTTGGATGTTGCCTTCTTTTGGGCCAGGCATCTTTATTGAAAAGATACTTCCATAAATAAATTAATTGTAACCATGGGATCCGTGCAGAATTTGTGTGCTCTGGGCAATTGTGAGAACAAATGATATAACATAAAGTATAATGCCTCCAAAGCCTTGGGGTCTGGTTTTCTGTTTGCTTTTTCTTTTTTTCTTTTTTTTTTTTATGTGTAAAACCAGGCTAATTGTCAAAAGAGCTTTTGTCTCCTGGTCTTCATTTTCTGGTTTTAAAATCCTGGTAGTATTTTGTTTTGTTTTTTAAATAAACTTTTTTAAATTATGTGTATGTGTGTCCCTGTGTGGGGTATGTGCACATGAGTGCCAGTGCCTGCAGAGGCCAGAGGCCCCTTATCTCCAGACCTGGAGTTACAGGGAGCTATGAGCCATTCAGCATGGCTCTGGAAACTGAGGTCTTCTGGAAGAACAGCAAGCACTCCTAACCACTGGACCATCTCTCCATTTCTGAATCCTATTTTATTAAGTTTATTTCTGGTACCTCTTTTAAAAAGTTGACAACCCAGTCATGGGGACAACACACCTCTAATCCAGCCCTCAGGAGGCAGAGGCAGGTGGGTCTTTGTGAGTTTGAGGCCAGCCTGGTCTACATAATGAGTTCCAGGACAGGCAGGGCCATGTAGTAAGACCCTGTCTCCAAAATGAAGTGATGATGGGATTGGGAGATGGCTCATTTGATAAGGTGTTGGCCATACAGGCATGATAGCTTGAGTCTGAGCCTCCAAACCTGTGTGAAAACTTGGGTGTGGGGTGTACCTATAACCCCACGCTGAGCAGATGGAAACAGAAGGATCTCTGTGATGTCACAATGGAGAACTGTGATGTCACAATGGAGCACTATGATATCACAGTGGAGCACTGTGATATCACATTGGAGAACTGTGATGTCACAATGGAACACTGTGATGTCACATTGGAGAATTGTGATGTCACAATGGAGCACTGTGATGTCACAATGGAGAACTGTGATATCACAATGGAGCACTATGATGTCACAATGGAGCACTATAATGTCACATTGGAGAACTGTGATGTCACAATGGAGTGCTATGATGTCACAATGGAGTGCTGTGATGTCACAATGGAGTGCTGTGATGTCACAATGGAGTGCTGTGATGTCACAATGGAGTGCTGTGATGTCACATTGGAGAACTGTGATGTCACAATGGAGTGCTATGATGTCACAATGAGTGCTGTGATGGCATAATGGAGCACTGTGATATCACAATGGAGCACTGTGATGTCACAATGGAGCACTGTGATATCACATTGGAGCACTGTGATGTCATAATGGAGCACTGTGATGGCATAATGGAGAACTGTGATATCACAATGGAGCACTGTGATGTCACAATGGAGCTCTATGATGTCACATTGGAGCACTATGATGTCACAATGGAGCACTGTGATGTCACATTGGAGAACTGTGATGTCATAATGGAGCACTGTGATGTCACAATGGAGCACTATAATGTCACATTGGAGAACTGTGATGTCACAATGGAGTGCTATGATGTCACAATGGAGTGCTGTGATGTCACAATGGAGTGCTGTGATGTCACAATGGAGTGCTGTGATGTCACAATGGAGTGCTATGATGTCACAATGAGTGCTGTGATGGCATAATGGAGCACTGTGATATCACAATGGAGCACTGTGATGTCACAATGGAACACTGTGATATCACATTGGAGCACTGTGATGTCACAATGGAGCACTGTGATGGCATAATGGAGAACTGTGATATCACAATGGAGCACTATGATGTCACAATGGAGCTCTATGATGTCACATTGGAGCACTATGATGTCACAATGGAGCACTGTGATGTCACATTGGAGAACTGTGGTGTCAATGGAGCATTATGATGTCACATTGGAGAACTGTGATATCACAATGGAGTGCTATGATGTCACAATGGAGTGCTATGATGTCACAATGGAGTGCTGTGATGTCATAATGGAGCACTATGATGTCACATTGGAGAACTGTGATGGCATAATGGAGAACTGTGATGTCACAATGGAGTGCTGTGAGATCACAATGGAGCGCTTTGATGTCACAATGGAGCACTGTGATGTCACATTAGAGAACTGTGATGTCACATGGAGCACTGTGATGGCATAATGGAGCACTGTGATGCCACAATGTAGAACTGGGATAGAACAATAGAGCACTGTAATAGATCAGTGGAGCACTGATAGAACAATGGAGCACTATGATAGAACAATGGAGCACTGTGATAAAATCCACTATATAATAACACAATCAGAAGGTTAAACACACAAACTACAACGGTAACATTAAAGAAGTAAGTGATAATGATGGACAGGAGAGTTCAGTGGGAAGAGCACTGGCTGCTTTTCCAGATAACCGGGGTTTGAATCTAGCCCCACATGGCAGCTCCCAATCATCTGTAGCTCCAGTTCCGTGAATCCAGTTCTCTCTTCTGATCTTGGATGCTGCACACACATGGCGCATAGACATACATACAGGCAAAGCACCCATGCACATAAGAATAAAACAGAATTTAAAAAGTCACCTTTTAAAAACAAAAAAAGGAAACTGTTAATGAAATGAAACAGAGGAGCCATCCCTGCCACATGTCACTATCAGGAAGAGTCGGAAGAACATCACCTTCAGGTCCCAGGAAGAATTACATCCCCAAGGCTCCTGTTTATAAATGCCCTTGGGATGCAAGCCCATGTAAAGTGCTTAGTGCAAGCATTTTGCAGTTTTAATTAGCAGCTAGTAGTTTACACCTTATTTTTAGAAGGCTGTTATCAAGTCTATAATGGACTCACTGAGAGATCAAGTGGCCTCTCTCTTACAAATGAGATCCGGTGTTGTCTGGCCTCTTTTCTCTTCACACACTTGGCTCTTTGCAGTTTTCTGCCTCATTTCCAGTAACGTGGGCATCATCAGGTTCATAGGTGAAAGCCCAACTCACCGCCCCTCCCCTCCAACGTGAGGTCTTTGCTGTGGAGTTCAGTCTGAGAAGGTTAGTCAGAGAGGCTTGCTCTCTTCTCAACTGTGGTGGGAATTCTCGGGAGAGAGTTCTCAGATGTAAGTTCTGCATGATGGTCGTGTAACAAGCCCCCAGACCTTAGCACAACTGACTCCATGATGGAAGGACCATTCAGGCTGCAAAACTCACAGACAGCACCATCCAAAATGAAAACACAGGCCTGAGCCATCAAAGTCCATAGATCTGGGGAAGTCTCCAAATGGACTTACCTCGCTTTTAACTTCTGGAGTTCTGCTTCTGGCTAACTGCTCTTGTTAACTGAAGTCTGTCAACCCAGGACATGGTTTTTGTGCTTTAGCTCACCCTGAGGAAGACTCTGGACAATACTGGCATCCCAAACACCCAGGGTAGTCACCGGCTGGGTAATAAAGACTTTCTATTGGCTTAAACCCGCGTCTGAGCAGTCTTCTCTGGTGGCTACCTCACAACCTTTCAAGGTATGGTCCATGGAGCTGGGGTCTTACCCAGGAGGAGCATTTGCCCTGCAGGCGCCCAGCTGCTCATCTCCGTGTCTCCCTGACACAGCTAAGCTGCTTCTCCTACTTGGTTTGCTCTGCTTTTCCCACCAGGTGCACTGATAGGAATGGTCAGGAGACTGAAAAGAGACAGGGGACCCCAGCGATGTCCTGTCAGTCTGAACTAAAGCTGCCCTGCATGTATTCCAAGGGGAGCACTGGGGCGCTGGGACTGGAAGAGGATGTGCGTTGGATGTGTGAGGCGGCCCTGGGTTCAGTTCCCAGGACTGCGGCGGCGGGAGAAAAGTGGATTCGTGTTTACGGCTGGGACTGCAGTTCCATCGGCAGAATGCTTGCCTAGAACGCACAAAGCCCTGGGGTCCATCCCTGGTACCACAGAAACCGGGGGTCGGGGGTGAGGGGTGGTGCAGGCCTGTCATCCTGGCCCTGGAGAGCCGGAGGCGGGAGGATCAGGAGTCAGGGTCGTCTCTGACCTCATAGTGGATTCGATGCCGCCAGCCTGTGGTGCGTGATTCTGTCTCCCAAAGAAACTACTAACAAAGAATGAGAGGAGGGCCCGAGAGAGAGCAGGAGAGCGTGGAAGGGGGCACACCTGTGTGCCAAATTGTGCAGTCGGAAGGAGACAGCTGTGACCACACAGTGCAGAAAGACCCAAACCCGCGGGGACGTGAAAAAACAAAAACAAACCAAACCAAAACCGTAAAGAGGGATGGACTCAGCTCTGAAAGGCCCCGGACTCTGAGAAAAGAAAACGAAACGTGTCTGGACCCCAGGACTAGAAAGGGGACGTGGTAGCCGCGGAGCAAGGCCACTTGCCGTGCGAACTGTGTGGCCTTCGCCTGGCGTGGATGCTCAGCCGTGTGGGGCTGCTGTGAACTAGGGGAGCACCCTTCCTGAGCCAGGTGGGCTCACACCCAGGCCACCCAGGCCTGGTGTCACACCGCCCTACTGCCATGTCTGAGCGACATTAATCCGAGTCTCGGGTGACTATGAAGCCTCTCTTCATAACCCTCCTATGGCAGGAAGGAATTCACACTTACGCCAGTGCTCTGGAGGCAGAGGCAGGCAGATCTACGTGAGTTCAAGGCCAGCCTGGTCCACACAGTGAGACCATGAACACCCTCCCCTGCCCCCCCCCCCAAAGGCTTCTGCTCAGTTAGTGACAGCCAAGGGGCGTTCTCGGAGATCTTCTTTTGACAAATGAATAGGTACCCATATGGGAAAGCTTCCTGCCCACACATCCCCCTAAAAAATCAGACCTCTTCTTCCGGCCCTTCAGTGAAACGGACGCTTCAGAAATAAAGGTGTGAAGCACTTGAGATCACATGTGGAGGAAGCCAGTGCTGAGTAAAACGAAAAGGGTGTTCCGTGGAAATCAGCCATGAAAAATAGACGGCAAACAGCAGCTCATGGTCTGGGGCAGTTTTTACCAGCCTCTCACGCTCCACCTTTTATTCTTACGGACTGGAAAACTCAAGCTTCTCGCTGGGGTACCGTTCCATCTTTTATTCTTACGGACTGGA